GCAGGGTATGCCTTCTGCAAAAATTGTCTTGCTTATTAACTCAGCCATAATGGAACCTGCCAAAATTCTTTGTGAAAGCCCTGGCTCAATCCCTCCCATCTGTAAAAGGCATACCACAAGTATTATGTCCCGACAAAGGGATCGGAGTTTTTAATTTACTCATCCACCACAAAACTCCATAGTAGTTGATGCAGCTCAGCAAAGAAACAAGCAACAACAAAACCATTCCACACCATCTGACAAGGATAATAGAAGACTTGACATACTCAGCAAAAGGTGTAAACCTCAGCCACATTACAAATAAGAGTGGCCAGCGCTCCTCAGTAAATATGACAATTATGCAATGTTTAACACGTTTATTGATGATATACCAGAGACAAGACACAGTTTAGAGCGACTATCACAGAAGGCCAGGCAATATTGAGGACAACCCTTCAAGCTGCCCTAGACACAGCTGACATGGCCACAAGAACAGCAGTCACAGCAGTTGTCATGAGATGGGCCTCATGGTTCAATTCCTCCACCTTCCTTCGCAAAATCGTCATCTGTGGAAGACCTACCGTTTGAGCACGAAAAGCTCTTTTAATTGAAAACCAATGACGTTCTCCATTCCATGAAGGATTCCCAGGCCACATTATGCTCTCTTGGTATTCAGACACCGGCAACAAGGAGCAGGCAATACAGATACCAACCATACCAGAGGCCAAGATACCCACAACTCACATATCATTACCAAAAGCAAGATCACTCTCCATACCAACAATGTGGCCACAGTAGACTGCAGCATCGACATAGCTAGGCCAAACTTCCAACCACCTACCTCAGTCCAGTAAGCAGATTTGAGGGGCTGTTAAGAAACTGAAAACCATCTTACCTAGCTCCCAAATATTAGGAAACCTTTCACTTACTGTCTTCTACCATTTTATGACAAATGGCTCAACATTACATCTGACAAATGGGAGCTACAGACAATTTCTTTTGGATATGTCATCCCATTCCTGTCCATCCTTCCAGCCCACCCACCCTCCCCATCCATCTTCAGGGACCCTCTCGTGAGATGATCTACTTCTTGTTGTAGTATAATCTACAACCGGGCACTATAGAACCCGTTCTCCTAGAGTTTCAGAGGATCTGATTTTATTCCTATTACTTCTTCAAGTTGTTAGCAGTGGTTATGGCCAACCTCAGAAAACGGGGCTTTACCATTTATCCGTACCTCAATGATTGCCTCATCAAGGCAAGAACGCAAGATGATTTCTGTCATTGCACCCATCTGGTACAACTGTGCTTCCAATCACTGGGACTTCTAATAAACGAGAGCAAGTCAGTACTTACACCGACTCAGTCAATACAATTAATGGGGGCTCATCTCAACTCTGCTTTAGACATCGCTTCCGTACCTCCCGACGGGTTCCTAAGGATCTGCAAGCTAGTTCATTTACTCTACATAATGCCAAGCGTCACAACCCATGACTGTCTACATCTCCTGGAATACATGGGATCATACAACACGGTGAGCCCCAACGCCCATCTGTTTGAGGTGTCTCCAGGGATGGCTTAGATCTATAGTTACTGATCAAAACACTGTCAGTCCCTGACACAGTAAAAAGATCACTACGATGGTGGACAAAACCATACAATTTACGCAGAGGCATACTCTTACAAACTCCAGAACCCACAGTGGTCATCACCGCAGACACTTCCTTCATGGGCTGGGGGGACACACGAGAGACCTAACAACCCAGGGCCTATGGACTCTGGCAGAGAAGACACTACACATCAGTGTCCTTGAGCTCAAGGCTATCTGGCTCACATGCCAGCATTTTCCTCCCCACATCACCAGAACCCACATCAGAATATGTACGGACAATATGGTCTGTATGTTTATATAAACAGACAAGGTGGGGCATGAGCCTACGCTCTCTGCAAGGAAGCCATTGCACTCTGGAACTGGTGCCTAACTCATGGCATCTCCATAAGTCCGTGTCATCTCTCTGGCGCCCTAAACACCACAGTAGATGCCCTAAGCAGAGCCCTACCTCTTGATCGTACGTGGCAGATCAGCCATTCAGTGCTGACAGAGATATTTGCATGATGGGGATACCCTCACAGATCTGTTTGCTACCGGAACAAACAAAAAATGCCCACTTTATTGCTCCAGGGTGAGCATGGGAAAGCACTGTCTCGGAGATGCTCTTATCATCAAGTGGAACGTCCACTTCCTCTATGCATTCTCTCCCTTCCTCCTCCTCAACAGAGTACTCGTCAAAATGAGGGACAAAAGGAGGGTTATCCTAATAACACCTTGCTGGCCCTGGCAAGCGTGGTTTCCCCTCCTGAGCAGAATGGTTCTACAACACCCAATCGCACTCCCATGCAACCCAAGCATACTATTCCAACCAGGAACTGAAGCTTCTCACCCACGATTTACCATTCTTCAACTCAAAGCATGGTACCTCGATGGTTCACGGGCATAGAACTACAATGTTCAGTGCAGATACATAATGTGCTCCTACATAGTAGGGCCCCTGAAACGAGGAAGACATACATTAACAAGTGGTCTTGCTTTGTACATTAGGCTGCTTTCCGTAACATATTACCGGAGGATGCCCCCCTACCTACAATCCTTGATTACCTACTACATCTCAAGCAATCCCAGATTTCCTTGGGCTCAATTAGAATACATCTCACAGAAATAACAATGTTCAATATGACCGTCGATGACACCACAGTCTTTACACATCCCATAACCAAGAGCTTCCTCAAAGGCCTATAGGTCCTATATCCTGATATTACTGCCCCACAGGAACCGTGGGACCTTCATGGTCTGGTATTGACCATGCTCATGAAACCTCCATTCGAACCTATGACCATATGCTCCCTTCTCCACTTAATGCTCAAAATGGAGTTCCTAGTTGTAATAATGTCAGCATGTTGGCTAGATGGCTGCCCTAATGGCAGACCCACCATTTACCATCTTTTTTAAGGACAAAATCTCTCTATGGACACATCCAAAGTTTTTACCCAAGGTACGCTCCACCTTCCACCTTAACCAAACAATACACTTACCTGTATTCTTCCCTAAGCCTCATGCCAATGTCTTTGAGGCACAGATGCATACCCTTGACATGCACAGGGTGCCCTCCTTCTACCTTCACAGAACAAAACCCTTCATGTCATCCCCGTGACTGTTCGTCTCCATTGCGGAACGTAATAAGGGGCATCAGATATCATTCCAAAGGCTTTCCCATTGGATCTCTGACTGCATCACCATGTGCTATTCTCTCAATAGTTTATCACCACCTACCTCAGTCCCTGCACACTTCACATGAGCAGTCACCACTTCTGTTGCTTACCTGCGGAAGGTTCCCATTGACTAAATATGTGTTGCTGCTACATGGACATCAGAACAAACTTCTGCTAAGCGCTATGCACTTTCTGATGGCCTTCTTCACTCTACAAGAGTAGCAAAGGTTATACTAAAGACCGCTTACCTGCCTGATCCGAAGTCCCTACCTCCATAGGACAAATTGCTTTGCAGTCACCTGCTGTGGAGCACTCCCAGGGATGTGTCTCTCTCTTGAAGAGGAGTTTACTCATCTTGGCTGTAACTGATGTTCTTTGAGATGAATGTCTCTGGGTTCTACTACCCTCCCTTCCTCCCCTCCACTTTGGACAAAAAAAAGTCTTTTCCACTAGGCTGGGTTCCAGATAGAGAAGGAACTGAAGGGAGGGCGGCCATGCATGTGCAGTAATACTGGATGGAGCTGTGTGCTTCAGACGCCACGCATGCACGGCCCCAATGCACTACTAGGACGAATATGCTCTATGGCGCTGGGACGCACCAACACCTGCTGTGGATCATCCCCAGGAACGCTCATCTAGAAGAATGTCAGTTACAGCTTAGGTGAGTAACCTCTTACTCCACTAAATGGGCTGCAGGCTCCATGTATATGTGGTTCTACACAGGAAGGAGAGTGCAGAGTTCCAGAATGTATCAGGTCCACATTTTTTCCTGCCATTACAAGAGATTTAATTCAAGAGGGAGCTGATATAACTTTCATTCTCTTGCTGATACTTGAACCAACAGACGGCAGGATTGTTTTCTGTGCACGGAAGAGAGATGATCAGTAAGAATTTAATATTAATTCATTGTAACTTTATGTATGCCCATCTCTGCAGGTTGCAGATAGCAATTTCACTTTGGTCCATCTGTTGCCTCCAGTTCTAATGCATTGGTAAATGACTTTTTCCATCCTGCACCTCTCTTGCCGCTTTAATGACATGGTGAGATAGCTGACTGTGGCTTGTGAAAATATTCCCCCCCCTTCTCCCCTATTTAATTTTGGTTCTGGACATCCAACACTCTGGTCGTCTGAAGAAGTGGGTTGTGCCCATGAAAGCTCATGATACCATCTACATGTTTTGTTAGACTTTAAAGTGCTACCAGACCATTTGTTGTTTTTTATGTTTATTAGTAAAAGGTCTCTTCAAAGAGCCTTTTGTATGGGTGAAATCCTAGCTTCCCTTAGTGTCAAAACTCATACTGACTCTTGCGAAGCCAAGATTTTACCCACTGAGTTGCACTTGAAGTAACTTGCATTCATCATGAGGAATCCAGGTTTTATGGGCCTGATTTTCAAGAGTTGAGCACCTGCAATCAGGATCAGATTTTCTAGAGCTCAGCTCTTCTTTGGATAACTAAATGAGGAACAGGTTTTCAAAATGCTGAGCACCCAGCAGCTCCTGTTGTGATGCATTTAGCCAGGTTTTCAAAAGAACTCAGCACACCATGTGTTGAGCTGTTTTGAAAATCTGGCCAAATACTTTGATGTGTAAATGGGACCTGAAGAATTTTTATCTTAAAATTTTAGTTTGTTGTATTCCTAAGAGTGAGGTATAGGTAAAGCCATTTATTTCCTGATCTCCCATAATGGCTCACCATGTATTTTATTATTTATGTTTATATTTATTTGTGTATCTCTTTTTTTAATTTGTAGATGTCATTCTTGGTCCTGAACCTAGAGGATTTGTACCTACGACTCCCAACATCAGCAGGGCAACATCATTTTCAACTAGAGTGATAAACAGTACATTTGCCCCAGCAACTGTGCAGACTATATTTCCTATCAGCTCTTTAGACAATAGTACCTCTTCATTAGCAGATGTCTCCTGGACTCAATTTAACATCATTATTTTGACAGTTATTATCATTGTTGTGGCCCTGTTGATGGGATTTGTGGGTGCTGTCTACATGTACCGTGAATATCAAAATAGAAAACTTAATGCTCCTTTCTGGACCATTGAGCTCAAGGAGGACAACATTAGTTTTAGCAGCTACCATGACAGCATACCCAATGCTGATGTTTCAGGCTTACTGGAGGATGATGGAAATGAAGTGGCACCAAATGGACAGCTAACACTGACAACTCCAATGCATAACTATAAAGCTTAAAACAAGAGTCAATTCACTTATTCCAAAGTCGGATTAAAAAATGTACAATCCTCGCTGAAGGTCTATCAAAATCTGTACCACGATTCCAAGCAAAGGAATTTGCTACTCAGATACTCTCTTACGTTGTGCATGGTCTAGCATGCTGGTGAGCAGAAAAGGAGTGTAGCGCATAAGAATTTCAGGTAATATTATGAAATGCATTCAGTATAATGTTTTCCATGAGGACCCATAGACTTCACTGTTAAAGACTTTCCATACAATTATGCTGATCTTAAAGTATATTTTTATATGAAAAGATGGGGGGTAACCAGTGCCCCTGATTAATCAAAAACTACTTTGACTTCCAGCGAAACTAAAGCCTAGACCAGTAGCCTATATTTTGAAAAGCAGCCTGTTTAATTAGCAGTGGACTTTCAGAAAATACTTTTTTGTAAAGACTTAATTTTATTTCCTGGTACGAATTTGTGCTTTTTGTATATAAAAAGGGAAATCCTATTTGTTTCACTTTTAAATAAGTAAGTGTAACACATGTACTAAAATCCACTTTCAGTTCTTCAACAATTTGGGGAACAGAATCAATAAATCATGAAAATGTTGAGGATGGGTCACTCTTCCCACTTTCTGAGTTCTCATACAATGTGATGATACTATTAAAACATATGAATCCATTTTTAATAGGAGTTAATGAACTTGTATACATACTGTACAAGGGAAGAAGACAAGACATCTCAGGATCACCTGTACAAATAAAAGCTAGGCTTAATATCCTACCCTGACAGAAATGGTGTGTTCTGTACATAAAATGTAATATATATTCTCTCCATTGTATTTGTAACTATTTGTAAAAAAAACCCCAAAAAACCCATGAGTCATATTTTATCATCTAGATTTTATCTGTACAGCGGTTAGTGGCACTGTAAAAACAAACAAACAAAAATTGTTTAAAATAGTGTAAATCATATGGCAATATTGCTGGAGCTGGGACTCTAGCAAACACCCATCATTTAAAGTTCCACTTCTGATATCACTGAAATCTTTTTTTAAAGTTGACTCTTTCCTAATTGTTAGTACAACTGTTCAAATTCCTCAACTCCTTTAAAGACATGAACTGAGCATATCATGAATAGAGGCTAGTCAGTTTCCAGAGACCTGATCTAACATTTGGTATCTTCCTGTGAAATGCCTGCACAAAATGCAAACATACGCTTATAAATGCTTCATTATTTGTGGCCTGATCCTGAAAACCATGATGAACATGCACTGTTTCTATTCACATGTATAATCCCTTTCTAGTCCATAAGACTGCTCATGTGAATAAGAAATACTTGTAGGAATAAGGATTGCCAGAAAACGTTGACACACTCATTCACTTCAGCAAAATGCAGGACAATGTAGCACTTTAAAGACTAACAAGATGGTTTATTAGATGATGAGCTTTCGTGGGCCAGACCCACTTCCTCAGATCAAATAGTGGAAGAAAGTAGTCACAACCATATATACCAAAGGATACAATTAAAAAAAATGAACAAATATGAAAAGGACAAATCACATTGCAGAACAGGAGGAAGATGCGGGGGGGGGGAAGGAAGGAAGGTAAGTGTCTGTGAATTGATGATATTAGAGGTAGGGAGAGTGGGATGTTTGTGAGTTAATGGTATTAGAGGTGATAATTGGGGAAACTATCTTGGTAATGGGTGAGATAGTTCAAATGTTTGTTGAGTCCTTTTTGGAAAGTGTCGAATTTTAACATGAATGACAGTTCAGAGGATTCCCTTTCAAGTGCAGATGTAAAAGGTCTTTGTAGCAGAATGCAGAATGTAGCAGAATGTCTGGCCCACGAAAGCTCATCATCTAATAAACCATCTTGTTAGTCTTTGAAGTGCTACATTGTCCTGCATTTTGCTTCAGCTACCCCAGACTAACATGGCTACATTTCTATCACTCATTCACTTCAGTAGAATAAGGGCGTCACCTAAGAGTTTAAAGGATCAGGTCCTTTGTTGCAAAATTCTAGTTAAACATAAGTTTAAAATAAATTATGCCGACACTACCAAGCAATTTATGCCTAGAAGTTCATGCAGTTTACAGCTGTTTTATGCTGGGGAGAAACAGAAGGTTCAGGTGCTAAAGACACGTACATAGTTCCTTTGGTTAACTTGTGCTCCCTTTGATAATTATTTTCTAGCTTATATTCATGTCCTTTAAGCCACATGGAAGCAGGTTGCCTCCTTGTGACTCTAAGATGTAGGCCTCAGGCCTCAATGCACAGGCCTCTATGTGTAATGTGGATGATGAAAGTATATCCATGTACCACTCCAAAAAAATGTTGACAGTTAACAGCCTTTGAGTGCAGGTCATGAGGCCTGATCCAGCCCTTCTTTTGTCCTGTCAACAGTTCGCAGCAGGTGTAAGGAGTATAAGACAATTTGTAACTTTCAGTGACTCATTCAGTCTACATTGGTGCAGTGAAAAAATGCCCCAAAGACTTTACAGTCTAATTTAATATGTGGCACAAGTGAATGACATAGGGATTTAGAGAGGGAGGGGGGCCATAGTACTAGGTGGATGTAATAGTGTATATGCTGGATTCAGAGCCCACTGAAGTCAATGGAAAGTGTCCCTTTCTCTGCTGTGGGCTTGGGATCAGTCCTAAATTTATAAGAAGTTTGGATTTAAGTCATGCAGATATGTTAAGTGATAAAATAGAAGAGGACAAAGACAAAAGAAGATCATAGATTGCATATACAATTTTTTAAGAGTAGATTAATGGCAATGGAAAGAAATGCTTAAAATCTCTATGTAATTACTTGGCAGTGTCTTTTCTAATATCTACTTACCTTTTTCTACTGTGTAAAGATTAGGCAACTTTTCACAGGCAAAATTACCCCAGCTTACATTTCTGGAAATAGTTGTTAGAGCAATAATGCTGAAAGGCAAAATGAAAGTGTATGCATTGTGACATGTCAGATCTTTTTTAGGGAGCTTGGGAGGAGTTTGCAAAGAAGAGAACTGTTACAATATGTTCCTTCCTATAACCTTGGGAAACCTGTAGGCTATTTTATAACAAGGATGGGCCACTTCTGATTTGGATTTCAGATCCTGGTTTTTGGCTCTCTCCATTATAGAGTGGCCAACTTCAGAGTTTGATTTTAAGTTCAGATAGAGACAGACCCCTCCTATCCCACCACTAAAAATGGGGGTATGTGGATTTGGAACTTTGATTTTTCCCTTTTCTCCTTTACAAGCAGAGGAAAGGAAATGAATAGGTAGGTACTATATCTGAGTGCAGGTTTGATGTAGGGAGGAGGTCAGTTCATCTTACACTTTGTAATGGTGGGAAGGCAATAGGATTTGAGTTATTTTGCTGATGGCAAATTCTCTCAGATTTTGAGAGAACATCCTGATGATCTGATCCAAAGCCTCTTAAGTCAATTTGAGTCTTTTGTGTGGCCTCTACTTGCATAAAGCTTTTCAAAACCAGACTGATCTTACTGAGCCTGTAGAAGGGTATCTGTTATATAGCAGGCTTAGTTTTGGAACCTCATCCTAGCAGAAACTGGAAATCTCACAGAGGTGAGGCCTTAGGGTGAAATGACTCAGCAGAAGAAACAGTCACATTCAGTCGCATCTTTTTGATTGGATAAATAATGTGATAAAAAATCAAAACACAATTGAAGGAAGAGTAAAGAGAAACTTCTCTACTTTATGTTCAGCCTAGTTCTGTGATATCTGGGAGTACAGCCAGTTTGTATCCCTTCTATTAACCACATACCTGAGCATCTTTACTTATAGGGATAAAGGGAGGAATAAAATGAGCTAGTTGTATCTTTTGGTCACCTTGGACTGCCCCTGGACATATTGCACTGCCTGAAACATCCACTGGAAACTCTCTCAGCCTACCAAAGTCCTTGGCTGGTCCAGCCAGGGTCACCCTCCTGTCATTTGTTCGTTGCATAACTTTGCCACAGAGCAAAGTTATGCAGCGAGTCAGCTTGGAACATGCACAGATGAATAGGTAGAGAACAGCACAGGTGCACTAAAGCCTGTGGAGGGGCATCTATGATACTGGGCACAGATGGCTGAAGTATCAGCACTGATACTATGATGGCATTTACAGGCCCCATATTGAACTAGGGCAGCATAGACCAATACTGGGCATGAGAGGCACCATCCCTTAAGAGGTGCAAGGCATGTTCCCAGTGAAGAAGGAATAATTTAAAAGGAGACCAATAGGTCAGGTAGACATGTGCTGCACATAGCAGCAGGAAGTGGGGCTGATGTTTTCCAGGAGTGGTAGGAATTGCTCTAGCAGTGGGGGATTTCCTGCTTGACCTTTGAGAGTTGAAAGCCCTAAGATGCTGAGGAGTTACTAAGCTAGTTACCATTTCCCTAACTCAATAGCTTAAGACTGAGGGGAAGTGATACGGTGGAAATATAATTTGGGGTAGCTCAGTAACTGGGCAGGACAGATTGATTAATTCCAACAACCCTGGTTTGGGACCTGCTGGGATGGGCGTGCCTGGGTCCCTCTACCTTGTTTTCCTGGCTTCTTTGTAGTGATTAAATAATGGCAGAGCAGTTAGAGCATGAGGAAGTGATATAGGCATCAGCTGGAACCCCTCTGGGCTGACTAGACTAGCAGAAATCATAAGGCCATGAGCTACCCACTAGGCTAGCTGATCAACGGACCACCTTACTACAGATATGCATGTACCTTTGGTGGGTACGATTGTCCCATCTGCTAACAGCTAAAGGAATAGTATGCAATCCTGCAAGACAAAAGATTAATTTGAGAGACAATGTGAGCGGCATGATGCCATACATATCTGTGCATGGTGAAGATGTAGTAAGAGGGAGATGTGACAGTATAGAGAAATATAGTGAAAGATCAATGGTTGCTGTTTCTAATGGTAATGATCTTAGAGTCACAGAATACTAGAACTGGAAGGGACCTTGAGAGGTCATCAAGTCATCCCTCGCCTTCATGGCAGGACCAAGCACCATCTAGATCATCCCTGATAGATGTCAATGCAACCTGCTCTTAAATATCTCCAGTGATGGAGATTCCACAACCTCCCTAGGTAATTTATTCCAGTGTTTAACCACCCTGACAGGAAGTTTTTCCTAACGTCCATTCTAAACCTGCCTTGCTGCAATTTAAGCCTATTACTTCTTGTCCTATCATCAGAGGCCAAGGAGAGCAATTTTTCTCCCTCCTCCTTGTAACACCCTTTTAGATCCTTAAAAACTGCTATGTCTCTTCTCCCTGCTCACTCTTCTCTTTTCTAAACTAAACAAGCCCAGTTCCTTCAGTCTTCACTGATAGGTCATTTGTTCTAGATTTTTAATCATTTTTGTTGCTCTTCTTTGGACTTCTCCAATTTCTCCTCATGATTCTTGAAATGTGGTGAACAGAACTGAACACGATACTACAACTGAGGCCTAATCAGCGTAGAGTAGAATGGAAGAATGACTTCTCATGTCTTGCTCACAACACTCCTGTTAATGCACCCCAGAATCATGTTTGCTTTTTTTGCAACAGTGTCATACTGTTGACTCGTATTTAGCTTATGACCCCTAGATCCCTTTCTGCAGT